ACCATCCGATCCTTACCCCTTTCTGCAGACATGTCTAGATTTACCACTGTATTGAAAAACCAAAAAGCAAAACATAGGATGTCAATAGATTCCCCGACCCAAAATTATAAAAAAAACCCTAATTTTCACAAACTCCAATAAACTAAATTACAACAACCAAAAACAACTAAATATTCTGTAAATAAAAGCTTACCACAAAGGAAAACTTTGCTTGAAAGAGCATAAACCACAAACTTCAGTCATGACCAACTTCACTCACGACCAGCTCAAGTTAATTACGACCAACTCCACTCACCACCACGGCTGTAAGAAGCAAATGATTACCCGTCTTAGTAATATAATTGGCCAAGTTATTGACGGATAATTGAGTCTAACTCAAAATCGATGAAGATTCCACCGGGAATCGGTCTCAATGTAGTTCATTAGGGTTTATTAGACTAAGGAAAGGGGATTTTGGGTGGAAGATCAATTAAGTAAGGTGAGGTAAAATGTGGGTAAGGTAAAAGGGGCTTTTTTTTTTATCTAACCTAGATAATAAACATGTGTCAACATTTTATTGGTATGTTATTCCGCGTGGAAAGCATTTAAAAATACACGCTTAAATTTTTACAGTTGTGTTTAAATGGTATAGTCCAAATACAGTTAAAGTGTTCAATAGGAAAAACACTAAGTTAAAGTGTCAAAATGGAAAGAGGAGCCAAGTTTATGGGGACGTACACCTATTTGGCCTTTATATACTTTTTGACATAAAATTTATCAATACTAATACACCATTTACTTTTTGATATATAACTCTACAAAATTAAAACTTTGCATTACTTAAGTTGGGATATATGTATATTTTAAACGTGATAGAAAAGGAATAAAATACTTGTATAAGCAATTCCAAGGAAAAAAATGATTGTACGTATCAATCATTGTATTATAGTTCGTGCATAATTAGCCCTTGAAACAAACCATTTTCAATTTCCAAGTAACACGCCTTGCGGACTTTTTCGCGTAGCACATCTCATCGACATCCTTCAACAACTTTCAGCATGTCGTTGTTCTTCTTCAACTTCTCATTGCATAATAATCATTATATATATAATAGTGTCATGATGAATTATATCCTAATTGAAAACATATGTTTGCTGCTTTTTTGGGGAAAAAGATTAAAAGAAAACACAGTATAGAAACACGTTTGCAAATAACCAATAGTTATTTACAGAGAGTCATCAGAATGCTAGAGATCCCATTTTAGAATGATAATGTACGAAATATCAACCTATGGCCGTAGAAAAAAAGAACAATATGGTCATAAGATAGGTATCTCTGAAAGCTGTTTTCAAAACATAAGTATCATAAAGGCTGGAAATATGATTTTACAACTTTAAATTTCAATAAATTCTTTCTCAAATAGCAAGACCTATATATATACAGCTAACATAAAGCGCAAGATCACGGGATCAAATGACCTGCAGGATGGTATACATTCTTCTTTCTCCAAATAATACGAGTTTTTGTCAGCATGACCGAAATATTACTTATCTACCGATATCACAAGGTTGACTTAATTAGCAATAAGTTCATTCAATATACTAGTCATATGTAGGGAGGGATACCAAGAAAGGAAACCAGAATTTACAGAAACAGTTACACATTATTTCATGAAAGGTGACCTCTTTTGGTTTTAGGGCAAATTAATATGATTTGCATGTCAACAAATCTAGACAACCCTCGTAGTAACATGCATTTTTGCTTATTATAAAGCTGAGAGTAAAGCACATTGATCTACTGAAAGCAAACTAATAAACGGGTGGTGCATGGTTAAAGTTGAAAGCCTTGCGTCTGTGTGTTTGTAGGGTGTTTGCTCGAACCAATTAGTGTGCACCTCAACTAATCGATTGGACACCAACTACTTCCAACCAGTACAGGTATCGAATAATTTCGTCTGTGATGAATGCTTAGGCATAGGGGAAGAATTCATCTAATATCGCCTCTGCTGGCAGGGTTCTTATCTTGTTTTCCAAAGTTCAGTCAAATATTTTTCCACCTTTAAGTTTATTTATAAATGGACAGATGAGGTAAATATCTTGATGATATATTAGTACGAAATATGCACAACATGTAGTGTGTCGCAATAGTATATATATAGTAGTACTACTGAAAGACACGCCACAGCAAAGTATTTGGTGTCTCTGTTTCCTTGAAGCTTTATTTACTGACTATAAATCAATTCTTCAATAACTCTTTTAGGGCTAAACGAGAAGATAAAAATTAACACAAGAAGTTATGGGTAACTGCCTTAATCTCTCCATTACGCTTTGCACGTCCACGTCCACGTCCACGTTAGCCCTTTATTATTCCCTACTAATTTCATCTATTTGGCCAGTAAAGGTTGGCCGGGTTAGTTGGGTAAGTAATTTCCCACATGAGAGACGTGAGATTAGTTTCCCTCACCAACAACTTCCTCAGTTAGAGCTCGTCACACTAGGCTTGTCTAGTGCGGTTTACACTTGTGTGGTTTGGGGGCTATTGCATAATGAGCAGGTTACCCAAATGCGCACCCGAAGGATAGCGACTGCGGGTCTCCCGGGAATTTTCCAAAATAAAAAATTTCATCTATTTGTAATTTTATTTCTATTGGTAAAATTCTTGAGCACTTTCCACTTTGAAGGTTTTTTTAACGTATGTTTACTTAAAGAAAAAGTAAACTATATGGTAAAAATTCTAGTTTTAAAATTTATACTTGTTACAACCTACATGGGGCAACTAGTGTAAGTTTATATAGTAGCAGTATGCTCCATTTTATCGACAAATCAACTGGTGATCAGTGGTTACCTTCCTAGATCTCAAAATTTTTATTATATATATAGAGAGAGTGTAGATAACATTTATTGTGATGGTATATAATAATATATATGATGACTTTTAGAGTAAGATACGATTATCTAGAAATAAGCAAGTTGTCTAAGACTATTTCCTATTTGCCTTCTACTGTGTCTCCTAATTAAAATCTCGCAAGTGCGTGTTCATGCATGCCTTCTCCTCAAGAACTTGGACCTAGAGAATTTTAATTTGTCATAAATAATGCAGAGAGAGAGAGAAAAGACCATTATATACTCAAAACAGGAGTAAAATTTTAAAAAATCAGAAAAAATATTATAGGTGTTTGGATATTGATTTAGTTCAAACTTGAAAAGAATTGTTTTTGAAATTGTATTCAAAAATAGTTTTTGGAAGTTGAAGTTATATTTGGACATATTTTATTTGGAAAAAAATTGAAGTTTTGTGAGCGGAAGAAAATTTTCACCCAAAAATTTACCCAAACCAATTTTTGGAACTTGAAAATTTTTCTTCAAAAACTAATCACATTTCATGAACAAACGATATTTTTAATTAATTTTTGGAAAAAACGTAAAAAAAAATTTATGTCCAAACGGAAGCAAAGTATAGTTTTTGACTTATAATAATTGCCAAATTTCTAGGAAACTAAAAGTGCTTATTTGGAGAGAGGCACAAAGCTTTTGGAAGAAGTAAGTTCTTCTAAACAGCAGTAAAAGCTTTTTTTCTTGCTGCCGGGAAGAACTTTAAAAAAGTAAGTTCTCCTTAAAAGCAGAAACAAAAATTGTTTCTAATTTTGTCCAGCTCAAATATATTTTTGAAAAAATTGATGAAACACAAACTACTTATCATTAAAATAAACACAAATTAAACAACTATTGTATAAGTGAAAGTACTTTTTTTAAAACTCCATATGATGATAAGATAAAAGTTCAACAGAAAGGTTCCAACAACAACATGAGTTCCATGACTTCAAAAGTCACAAAAAGGATAATCAAGATCCGATAAAAGCAGTAACTATAATCCGCATGCAAAACAGACAAACAAAACAACAAACTAATTCTTCGGTAATTTAGAATCTATAATTATAGTTCTCTCCGAAGAACTAATTAATTAAGGAATTCACTTTGCCGATCTTTTCCTTTTCTGATTTGATGACTTCTTTTCTTCTTTTCCTTCTTAACTCCATAATCATTAATAGCTCTCATCATTAGTGCTCTGTAAGGTTTCTTCGGACTTGCTTCTGATTTCTCTCCAGGTTTTGTTTCAGCTGATGCGGGTGTAGACATGTAAAAATTATTAAATTTAGTCCATACAAAATTTGGAGTAAATTCTGAATTACTTTGGGTCGAATAATTAATTTGGACTTCACAAATTAATAAGTCCATTTTTAATTTCATGCCCGAGGTCCATTTCATCTTAAGGCCCAAACTCATGCCATGTGTTAAGTGACATGGCATATCCAGTCAAACTCAAAGCCAACAAGATGATGCCACGTGTGAAGTGATATGGCAATCCCAGTCTAAAACAGTGACCAATCAAGAGTTGCCAAGTGTCTAAAATGACATGTCTTGGCCAATCACAAGCAAGCTTATCACATAGTTTATGTGATAAGTTTGATGACTCACATGAACCAATCAGAATCAAGCAAGAGAGTTCATATGTAGCTGGACTGTCCATCCTCTACCAATATAAATAGATGGGTTACATAGCTCTCTAGAGGACATTCAGAGTTGGAGAAGAACACTCCGCAATTGGTGAAGGCATCCACAAACAAAGAGATCAATCATCAAGTGCTTAGTTCTTCAACAAAGGAGTGATCAACGGAGTTCTTCCCGGAGATCAACCCGTAACAACAAAGTGTTGCTCGTCGTTCTTGGCAATTAAATATATCACAAGGAGATCTGCATCATCCTACATTCGAGAAAGACGCTTCTCAAGGCCTCGAATAACGGAGAATTTTAGAGAGGAGAATCAAGGGATACATAGAATTTTAGTCACAAATATTTATCAATAAAATCACTTTTTCTTCATATTATTTTTTGTTGCAGTTTATTTTTCATACTACGAAAATTTGTTGCGAACAAATTTTGGCACACCTAGTGGGACTAATTCTGCTCTTCATCTCTCCTTCTTGCAAGTTGAAAATTACAAACTTCAGATCTACTGCTACAATGACCTTCCGCAAGTGTGATGTTTCATGCAAAGATGCTACTGCTGCTGTGTCTGCTGAGCTTAGTCATATTGGCCCAATCACTCGAAGCAAGTTCAGGGCTAGTGGCTTGGATGGGACCGAATACTTCGCCTCCTTGGAGGTGGCAAAGAAGAACAGATCTCACATGACATCTACAACCGCTATCTTTGGGGGCAACACCCCATTCTTGTTATTTGACAAATTTTCTCAAACAGCCTAGCTCCAACCTTGGGGAATTTGAGGATTTGGTGGATTCTCCAATTTCAACGATGGTCAACGCCTTAATGACTGACACAACTAACGTGGATGAGAAGTTTGCCATGATGGAACAAACTATTGAAGTCTTGAAGAAATCTGTTGAAGACAAAGACCTTCAAATCGCTCAACTCATGAACAAATTGGAGGCCTATGCACCAGAAGAATCAAGCCACGTCCCTCCTCGTTCATCTGTCTTCACCTCGCCAAAGACGGCTATTGAGGAATCACTTGCCAAGTTCAACATTCAAAAGGAAAAGCAATCCACTTTAGTTGCGGCGTTATCTGTCCAACAATTGCAAGACATGATAACAAACACCATTAGATCTCAATATGGCGAACCATCGCAAAGTTCGTTGTACTACTCTAAGCCTTATACTAAGAGGATTGACTGTCTAACCATGCCAACCAATTATCAACCATCAAAGCCGCATCAATTTGATGGCAAAGGGAACCTAAGGAAACATATTGCCCACTTTGTCGAGACTTGTAGCAATGCTGGAACGCATGGTGACCTTTTGGTAAAACAATTTGTTCGTTCTCTGAAAGGGAATGCATTTGACTGGTATATTGACTTAGAGCCCGAGTCCATTGATAATTGGGAGCAACTTGAGAAGGAATTCCTCAATCGTTTTTACAGTACCCGAAGAACTGTAAGCATGATAGAGTTGACAGGCACTAAGCAAAGGCAGGACGAGCCCGTGGTTGATTACATTAATCGTTGGAGGGCGTTAAGTTTGGACTGCAAGGACCGCCTTTCAGAAATATCTGCTGTGGAGATGTGCATTCAAGGAATGCACTGGGGCCTTTTGTACATCCTATAAGGGATCAAACCGCGAACTTTTGAAGAACTTGCAACGCGGGCGCACTACATGGAGTTAAGCATCGCAAGTCATAGAAAGGCATCTCCATTTGCTGATCAGAAGGAGTTCAAGAAAAATGTTGCATCAAAGCACCAAACCAAAGAATCTATGGCGATGAAAGCAACTTCCGTGAAAGTCACAACCAAGCAAAAGGTGAAGGAGGATAAGACCCCAAGTAAATATCTCAAAGAGGAGAAACGTCGTCCCACCTTGAAGGAATTAGAGGTGAATGTTTATCCATTTCCAGATTCAGATGTACCCATAGTCCTTGATGAATTGCTCGCCAAGAAAGTCATCGATCTCCCTGAATCAAAAAGGCCAGAGGAAATTGGTAAAGTTGGCGATCCGAAATACTACAAGTTTCATCGCGTCATTAGCCACCCTACAGAGAAATGTTTCGTCTTGAAGGAGAAAATCATGACTCTTGTTAGTGAAGGAAAAATCATCATAGACATAGATGAGACTGCAGAAGCAAATCATGCAAGTATCGCGCTCAAAGAAAAGAGGTGTTCCAGGTTGCAGCACGCGTCAAGCACTGCCTTCTTACAATTTGGAAATTTCGAGCCCGTTGAAGTTGATCTTCCAAGGAAAACTCTTGAAGGTTCACTAGAGCTGGACACTCAGTCCAAAGACAAAGACGATGGGGGTTGGACTCTAGTCAATCACAAGAAACGAAGACATCAAGAAGTTCTAAGGCTACCACTTCCTAAGCCAAGAGCAAAAATAAATGATATGGAGAGGCTACAATCACCAAGAATTATCAAATCTTCCATTAGTAAGAAGATTAATGGTGCATTATCAAAAGTTCCAAAAGTCCATCACATTGCATGAATTCTTTCCTAGAAAATTCCTTCATGGAGGTCATGTTAGTGCAACTCATGTAGTTTCTAGTACTGACGAAACAAAAGAAAGCAATGATGAGCTTGCTCCAATGAAAATACAAGAACATCATGATAACGGAAAAATTGTTACATGTTGTGCAACAATTTCCTTCACGGATGATGACTTGTTGCTGGGGTCTAAGCCACATAACAGACCTTTATTTGTTGTAGGGTCCATTCGGGAACAACATCTCAATCACATACTTGTTGATGATGGTTCAGCTGTCAACATCATGCCAAAGATGGTGCTAAAAAAGCTTAGGATCTCTATCGATGAGCTATCCAAAAGTAACCTAACAATCCAAGGTTTCAACCAAGGAGGATAACGGGTCATAGGTATGATCCGCGTAGGATTATCCATTGGTGAGATGAATTCAAACACCCTGATTCACGTCATAGATACTAAAACATCATACAACTTGTTGCATGAACGTCCTTGGATTCATGAGAATGGGGTGGTATCATCTACTTTGCATCAATGTCTGAAGTATAGAAGAGATGGTGAGATAGTCAAAATTGATGCAGATATCAAGCCTTTCACTGAGACGGAGTCATACTTTGCAGACGCAAAATTCTACCTAGATTCTTGTGAACTGAAAGTGGATAAACCATCATCTGATGACAAAGTTGATGTCAAGTCAGAAGAGGAAAATGAGGCTCAATGGACTACCACCAAGCTGCCTAAGAAGGGAACGGAAGAAGTCTCCATTAAGCTATCATCATCTGAAGGTGACATACAGACAAAGACCAAGGAGCATCTGGTTTTTCGCTATATTCCATGTGAGCATCGAAAGAAAGGGCAACCTTTGCTACAGGAATGTACTCCAAAGAAGCAAATGAGTCACAAAGATATCCAATATTTGAAGGAGCATATGACTGTCCTAGTTGCACAAATCCCATCCGTGACTTGTGAGTCTGCTAAAGGAAATCTCCTAGATGATAAAATAAAATGTCACTATGATCCTAAGGCCTTCATACTGCTTGAAAAGTCTGGTTATGACTTCTCCAATCCATCACAACTAGGAGAACTCAAAGACGAAGTCACTGGTGAAAAGATACATGGGCTCAATGAGTCCCAAATGAAGTTGAGAAAGCAAGGGCATTACGTCGCCACTCCAAAGTTTGGGTTCAGGTTCAGTTTGGCAGAGCCTCTTCGAATTTCATCAAAGAGAAGCAAAGAGACAGCTTCATCAAAATACACCTCGGTAGAGGAGATGAAGGAAGTTAAGGGCAAGCAAATAAAAAAAACGGGCTTCAGTATTTGATCGTATTGGAGGCTCAACCCCTTCGATCTCGGTGTTTGAAAGGCTAAATCACAAAGATGAACGTGTATCTTCCAAACATCTAAAAGAATTTTCCACTACCTCAAAGACCTCTGTATTTTGTCGCCTAGGAACCACAAGTAAGTCTCCATCTAGAAAGATACTGTCAAAACATAAGGAGCAAATCCATGAGGAGCGGGATCATTTTGAAGTTGTTGCTGACAAAGAAATCTATAGTGCTTTCCCATCACGTATGAAAAGGAAATCTATTTTGTCAATATCCATAGATGATCCACTGAAGGTGCAAAGGAGAACCATTGTTTACACTTGCCAGCCTCGTAAAAAAGCAAACAAAGAGAAAGAACCCATGCCGACCATCCAAGGAAGTCAAAGAGAAAAGTCAGACTTTGTGGAAACATCCTATCAGAGTTGTGGAAACATCCAAGAAGGGCTCACATCCGAAGAGAATGCTCAACTTTGCCTAGTAGAGTTAGAGGCCCTGGATGAGAAAAGATTGGAAGCACAACAAAAATTGGAGTGCTATCAAGCTCGACTAGCTAGAGCCTTCAACAAGAAAGTGCGGCCACAATCATTCTAAGTGGGAGACCTAGTCCTAGCTGTTCGACGACCCATAATCCTCAACAAACGCATAGGCGACAAGTTTACCTCAAAATGGGATGGGCCATATATTCTGAAGGAAGCCTAAATATCCAATTCCAAAGCCTTTCTCTTATTTGGGATGTGTCAGAGTTCCCTAAAGTGTAAGATGGACTCTGGGCAATGCTTACACCCAAATATATTGCAGAATTAAGCTATTGTGCAGTGTATAAGGGCCAGCCCTCAAATGTCCAAGTTCAGATGGAGCTCAAGGTCCCAAGGTAAGGCTCATAGGAGGGGGCAGAACTTAAAATCTAAGAGAGAGTGTAATTGCAGAAAGGGATTTAGGGGAAAGCCAAGACAGGCTGGTGGTCATACCCAGCAATTAGAAGTGCTAGCACACCCAACCAGCCTGTTAGCCACATTGTTTGGGAGTTAGGATCCCTTAAAGGATCAAGCCCATACATGAGCAACAATTTGGATGCTGCTATGCCTTGGACTTTAACTCAAACACATAGAGGGGAATATGGGTATAGGGATTCATGGCAGAAAATAGATGCAAAGAGAGCAACATACATATTTAACACTGAGCATAGACAGCAAAGTAGACAAGATTATAAAAGCTGTAAAATAAACACATTGGGATGAGGCTGCAAACTAAATTAGAACATACCAGTTTCAGGGAAACAAGAAAGTAAAAACAATAGTCTTGAAAGCCAAAGTGCAAACGAGTAATCAAGATGCTATGAGTTTAGAAGAGAATTGTATGAAGTGTGAAAGTTTTTGAACTGAAGATGTGAAGTAAATAATGTGTAAAAGAGTATTGAACTCGAGGTGTCTTAAAGTGCAGAAAGGTCGTGCCCTTTATCGTGCAGAAAGCAAGTAAGAAAAAGGTAAGAAAATAGTTTTGAAATCAATTGCATTAGTCTCCCTTTAATTAAGGGATTCTGATTTCAAACGAGCAAAATAATTAAGGAAAGAGTTTGATCAAAATCTTTTCCAAAGTAGTACAAGAAGGGAAAATACACAGAAACTATTTAAGGAAAGAGTTTGATAGCAATACGGTTTGTGCAAATAAGGAAATGCAATCAATCAACAGCTAGTAAAAATCAGAAATTGAGTTTTGGTATGAATGAATCCAACCAGAAAAGGTGAAGAAAAGTTTAATTAAAGAAAATCAGTAACAATCAATCGAACCTTAATAAAAGGAATTCTGAATCAATCACAGATTGGCAAAACCTTTTTTAAAGGGAGGATTCCTCATATATAAAGCATACAGACATGTCAAACAAGAAAGAACTGTCATGCTAATTAGAAAAGAGTCTAGCATAGAAAAGCTCATAGCCATAACAAAAGAGCTCAAATTCAATACATAGACTCAGGATTAGTTTGAGAGAGTCCAGGGTTCCATAATAGAACCCCAATCCACACACAAAATCAAACTCGCCAAAAACTCCAAACCCTAGGGTTTCCAACTCGAATCAGATACAGAGACGAGGAGGCCGGCAATTGAATTAGGCTCAGAGATCTCTTTCAGAGTCTCATGTGAAAACACACTTATATAATAGCAAGTTCGAATCAACAGAGTAAAAAAGCTGATTTGAAGCATAAAGAACATAACTTAGGCAAGTTCAGAAGAGAAAAGCGGTGATATAAACTTACGAAACAGTAGATGAAACATGTTTAGAACTCAAACAAAGGTCCAGTAAAGGCAAACAAAGGACTAAAAGCTTAGTAGAAAAATACATTAAAGGAACTCAGGGGTATCGAAAAAGCCTAGCAAAAGAACACATAAGATAAACATGTGAAAACATGATATAGAAACCAGTAGAAGAAAGAACGGAGCACAATAGAAGCACATGCATAATACGACAAACATAAGAACATAAGAGACGAACATGCGAGGTAGAAAAAGAGAACATAAGAACATAGCATAGACAGATTCACACAAAGAAAGAAGAAGAAGAGTCAGAAAACATTTTAAAACTTTTTCAGAAAACCTAAATCGAAGAGAAACAAATTTTGAAAGAAAAGATTGGGGAAAACGTTTTAAAACTCCAGTAGAACACAGATATAACATAAATTTAAGAAAAACAACTAGAGAAAAACCTCGAATAGCTAGGGTTATTCGAGAAACCCTAGAAAAAATGAGAAAGGCTTGGAAGAAAGTCCAATCTTGAGTCAGATGAGCTAGAATCAGGCTCGAAATGCTTTAGATGTG